GGGGGGGGGGGGGGGGGCTGTGTTCACCATTGATTAATCTTTAGCTGTCCAAAGGGCCACCCCAATCACATGAGCGTACTATATTTTTGAGCAATATAAAATCTAGAAATACTTTCCTTAAATGAAAGGCGTGGTCAGTCCCCCCCCCCCCCACACACACACACACGTGCTGTGTGAGAAAACTGCACATTTTAAAGTGGTATTTTATTTATATGACATTGTTTTTTGAACCAAACAAATGTTTCCAATGTTTTCTGACCTGAAGCCGTTTTGCTTCAGTTCAAGTTCAAAGGAACTAAAAAGTGTCTTCCTTGTGAAACTGCGGGCTCAGGACTCCTTCCCGGCCTTTGTGACCACAAAAGACCAAACAAGGGAGTGTCACCATCGCACCTCACAGCTAATCTCTCAATTACTACCTTACTGCTACTGCCAGACAAAAAACAGCCAAAGCTCAGACCTGTCATGCATAAATCTCTTTATTTGTGTGTCTCTTTAGTAATAGCCATGTGTGGTCTGGATAATCCAGCTCTTTGTTGTCTATTTCTGTTGCAACTCCACTGTAAGACACATCCATGACTGAGAGGTTACTAAACATAAAAAATGATGTTGCATGGCTTAGAGGAGAGCATGATCCCGTCATTATCATAAGAAGAGCGGCTGTTCATTATAAATAGAGTCTAAACATTCATTTTATTGTTCTGCTTGAATGGAAATCATCAAATGTTTTAGCCTTTTAAAGGTGTATTTTTACTGTTTTATTCGTGTGATCAGATGCACCTCGTTTTGCTCGTGTTGCTGTTCTGTCGACATGATTTCTAACATGTGTTATCTTTCCAAATGACATTTGCAGAGAACCTGGAGAGACAAACCGGGGAAACCTGACGAGGTGGATGGTTTTGTGGTTGTGGTTCAGCCGGCATGTCCTCCCTGTATCAGTTGCACAATGATGTGACAACTCCAGCCGATCCAGGGATTAAAGGTAAAGATAAAAAGGAGTTGCAGACTCACGGTCGTCACTTTGGATAGTTTTCCCATAGGCCACACAGACACACATGTACTGAGAAGGCCGTATAAATGTCCAACAGACGACGGTTCCACAAACACCTGTTGAGAGTCTTCTTGCTCGTTCTTTGGAGCGCTCCTCTTCTGCAGCTCCATCATTGCTGCGGTTCTGCGTTCCTCTCAGAGATTTTAGTTTTAATGAAAAGAGTTGATCTAAGCTGTGCAGCCTCTTAATGACGACAAGTTCAAGAATCTTTTTTATCCACACGGGGCAGTTAGTTTCAGTCAGTAGGCACAAAAACACCCACACCAGACGAGACACTGAGACATTAAAATAACAGAAATCATCTTTTTCATGGAGAAGCCTGATCTCTTCCATCCATCCATCATTCATTATCTTTTACCCACTTCTTCCATTTTGGGTCATGGGGGTCACCGGTGCCCATGTCCAGCAATCACTGTGCGAGGGGCAGGGACACCTGGACAGGTCTCCAGTCCATCACAGGGACACATAGAGACAAACGAGACAAACAACCATTCACTCTCTCACCTAGGGACCATTCATAGTTACCGGTCAGTCTAACATGCATGTTTTTGGTCAGTGAGAGGAAACTGGAGTACCGGGAGAAAACACACGCATGCACGGAGAGAACATGCAAACTCCACACAGAAAGACCCCAGGTCCAACCGGGGATTGAACCCAGGACCTTCTTGCTGTGAGGCAACAGTGATAACCACTCAGCCTTCGTGCTGCCATGGCTTGGATGGATGCGTTTTTCAGTCTGTTTGTTCTACATCTGGGCACCAGATACCTGCGTCCAGATGAAAGACACCTGAACTCACCATGGAGTGATGATCAGGATCTGCCAGGATCAGACTGGCCTTGTTCACTGACCTCACCATGTGTAGGTCAGTGAGGTTCTGAGGTTCTGTAGGGTTCTCCCAGCAGTTTTGTTGCACATCCTGACAGTCCCCGACAGTTTGTTCCTGTTCTTCATGTCAAAAGTTCAAACCAACAGATGAAGATAAAAGTTCAAAGAGACTCAATAAAACATTTTCATCAAAGTAGAATCAACATTAAACCCAGAGCTTCTGATAAAATACATTCTCTGTCTTCTTACAGAGTGAGGTCACATGGGGGTCAAAGGTCAGGTTGTCATCCAGAACAGTTCTCAGATGTTTACATTGATGCAACATCTCAACAACTTTTTCAAACATCACTCTTTGTCCTCACATCACTGTTTGTCCTCACATCAATGTTTGTCCTCACATGGCTGTTTGTCCTCACATCACTGTTTGTCCTCACATCGCTGTTGGTCCTC